TTTTTTTACTTTCTTTCATGGTCAATTGCTGGATGGCTTTTAATCTGAATTTTTGTATCTCTTTATCTGTCCTCTGTCCTTTATCCTTTCATTCCACCAACTACTGTGTGTCAGAATGCCATCTGTTGACTTTGACAGGGAGTGGACGGAGGAGGAAGTGGGTTGATGCTGGCATTACGCACAACTGTGGAGAACAGAGCAAACTGTGCTCAGATCATCTCACTGTCTGTAAGTGACAACTAAAAATTAAATGTAATAGATATCTGGGGCATTAGAGTTCATTTTAAACATTTCACCTAATCAACTAATTCATTATAAGAAGCTTTACCTGAAGAAGGGCAGACATGTGAAAAAAAAATCGCCACACAAAATTGATTGACTGTCCATACTCACAGAAGTACAAAATTAGCCTTGGATTATTTCCTACAGCCAACAAACTATAACAATTAGCTTCTGTCAGTTTCTTACATTGATTAGCTGCCCTACATTAAATGAGGGGAAGGAGCAATGTAGGTAACTTTGAAAAGGAAATCTTCTTAACTGGCTCTTGGGATATTGACAGATTCTCAGTGTTGCACTTTAAGATGAAACAAATTGAACCAGTAGATATTAGAGGGACATTTAGAAGAGTATGTATACTTTAAGGAGAGGCACAAGCAGAAGAGAGTGAGGCTGTGAGGCTGTGTGTCTGTGTGTGTGGGCGTGTGTTTTCATATGAGGAACACAGGTATTTGCGTCCATGCAGGTGTGTAATACCAAAAAAATAAAAGAGAAACTGAGAGATGAAGATACAAAAACAAAATACCAAAGAAAGAGGTGGGCCTTTCTACACACTAAGTCATGACAAGTAATACAGGTCCAGTGAGGTAGAAATAAAAAAACAAAAAACAAAGCACAGAAAAGGTCAGAGGCAGCATGTAGACACACATGACTGAGCAGCAACAAAATATATATTTTTTGTGTGCAACGCTTTCACACTGACATCCACACAAACTGCAAAACTATCACATTAAGTTATCAAGAATTAAAAGCAGATATCAATGTATAATAACAACACGGCCAGTCCTAAAATCCCTGCATTTTCTCCTGGAACATCGCACAATGCCACACTCACTTTTGTGATTCATGTTTTGCATGGCGGCATGGGGGACATAATGTGCCGGTTGTGAAATTCAAAGCCACAAATTAAAGTGAAAAATGATACACTCACCTGCATCAGAGTCTGGGGGAAGATTGAGGTCAGGCAAGAACCAGATGAGATGAGAGAAAGAGAGATACAATAATTAATACAAAAGACACTTAGAGAATTTCATCACATAAAGTAAAAAATGTCACTGTGAGACATCAAGTCCAAGTGATGGTGGAGAAGGTCTTTCCACATTAGTAGTAATAAGCTTGCTAGTTCAGTCCTCCTGTAGCACACAAGAGGGAAATATTTATTCCTCATGTCAATCAAAAATCTCTGACTCTATAGGTAAAGCACTGTGGACATGAAGCATGTTATCCTTGTTCTTTAGGTACAGGCAAATAACAAAACAAAGTCAAGTAGCATCACTCTTTGCAAGAATTTCTGTCAATGATGTACAGTATTGAAGGGCTAAAAACATGAGTTGTGTTGTTGTCTCACTCTCTGCTGTATGAGGGCGTGTTTGTGCTCCAGCTCCCTCTTCTCCACGGCCGAGTCAATGACCAGCTGATCCAGCTGCACATAGAATACGACAGCAGAGTCAACGCGACAGGCAAAATAAAGACAGACAGAAAAACTATGCTCAAGCAGAAATACACGCGTGAATATGTCTGTACGCATTTTAAATGTCTCTGCATTACAAGAGAAATAGAGCGACATTTCCTCACACTTTAGAGTTGGTATTAGGGTTACCACCAACATTTGACCTTGTGTTACCCTTCAACTTCACCATACGTAAGACATATTTCTCATAATACAGATTTGTGATTTCTTAATTGTATATTTTCCAATTAATAAAGGAAAACAAATTAATCTCCAAAATAACTAAAATGAAATCCCAGTCTGTGCTATAAATATTCTGATGCATTTAAAAAAATAAAAAGTTATGCAATGAAAACACAGAAGCGACCAAAGCAGTAAAAGGGCATTAAAATGTCACTATAAACCAAAGTCCACCTGATTGTCAAGAGTGTGTACTTGTGTTTAGTTGTATTTTAACTGCGTGGTTTTAGTTTGTTAATTTCGTCCTACCTGTGCAGCCAGTTTTTTCATATAGGGGTCAATCTCGTCCAAGATATTAAAGCCTTGTTGGAACAGTGTGCACTGGGCACGCATAAAGGACAGCATCTGGGGGAGACAAATTAAGATACAAAGATGGTTGTAATACAATCAGAATGAATGATCATTTATTGTTGAGTATGATACACACACAAAGAATTTTGCCCGATGATTGGTGCGTGACAACTGTATTGCTTCTCCTTCTCACACCACAGGAACTCCACAATGTATGTATTTGGTTAATGTAGAGATGTTCCACAGGAATGACAGGATATATATCTAGGCTACTCACTGCATCCAAGATTTCAAACTTCTTCTTGGCCTGAATCACATTAATCTGAAACAAATGGAAAATACAGAGATTTTAGGCTGAGATTATTTGTGATTTATTAATCTACGAAGTTTCTTCCTTCTCTTCTCTCTTTTTGCATAGAGGAGTAATGTGTGTGTGTGTGTGTGTTGTGTGTGTGTGTGTGTGTGTGTGTGTGTGTGTGTGTGTGTGTGTGTGTGTGTGTGTGTGTGTGTGTGTGTGTGTGTGTGTGTGTGTGTGTGTGTGTGTGTGTGTGTGTGCGTGCGTGCGTGCGTGCGTGCGTGCGTGCGTGCGTGGTGTCAGCAGCTTTAATGTGTCAGCGGCCACACACTGGACAGCACTGATAGTACAATCTGGTGTTGGGTGAAGGACTGTCACCTGCAGTACGTAGTCTAGCGCAAGGTGCCTGAAGGCTTTGCGGCTGAGGACGAGAGCCTGCGTGGCCTCTTCAGCCTCGTGCACCTTGTTCCTGGGCGCTTGGGCGTTCTTCACCTGGGCCAGTTCCATGTCCTCCCGCACCCGGTCAAACTGCTTCTTGGTGTCCTTAAATTTACGCACATCCCTGCAAGCGAATGTATTTTAGCTCAATATGCATTATTTAAGTATAACAGGAATATGGGATGAAGGGGCACTTTCATCCCTAAAATGCCCATTTTACCACGATACCAGTCTTCTCTCATTATGTATTAAATCTAAAAAGAATATTTTAGAATAGCTGCGGAAAGCTATTTGATCAGTTGTGAAGAGATACTCACTCTTTAATGAAGGTGTGAAGCTGCTGCTTGATTGACCTCTGAGCCTGGTCAAACAATATCTGTGCATCAAGGAGGGGACAGAGGTGTGAAACATCAGCATTTAATATTACAATATGAGCTACAATGATGGCTGTGAGAGTAGTGTAGTAGTTATTACATCCCTCCACAAGATGGCAATATGAATCCTTCCACAGTATTGCTGTAGCAGATTGTGCTTCTGGCAAAGGAGGGGAGAGGACATACATTCAGCTGCTTCCTAATGGATATTAACCCTTCGGTTAGCTGTGGGATTTCCCCTTCAGTTAGTCTTCCTCCTCCTCCTCCTCCTCCTCCTTTCTGTCCCCTCACACTTCTTTCCATAACTTCCCCCTCACCAGGGGCGACTGTGGGTGAGTGGGGAGCACGGTCATCCTCCAATCAGAGGGTTGTCGGTTCGATCCCAGGCCCGGCTAACCCGCATGTCGATGTGTCCTTGGGCAAGACACTTAACCCAACATTGCTCCTGTAGCTGCGACTGCAGAGTGTGAATGTTAATTACCGATGAGCAGGTGTCACTGTGTATGTGTGAATGGGTGAATGATGTTATGTAGTGTTAAAGCGCTTTGAGTGGTCGGAAGACTAGAAAAGCGCTATACAAGTACAGTCCATTTACCATTTACCTTCGACTTGTATGTTTTCTCACGCTTTTCTTCCTACAGTCCCATTATGATGTACACAGAATGGCTGTAGTTGAGCAGACCATCTTCATAATTATGTTTTTAGAATTGGCTAGTTTGTGTCCAGGTGCATGGACAATGAGAGTGCTTCAGTGAAAGCCTCAACCACTCAGGGTGCCAACCAGCATTTTGATTTGAAAATTACAAAACAGCAGAAAAAGTTACCCCAACGTTTATTCAGTACACCAAAATCTTGTGTAAATCTGTTATAAAACACTGTGATACCATTACAAACACATGGTTATATTGTGCTTTATAGATTCACTGGTAGGAACCTCGGCGTGACACTTGACAGTCAACTCTCCCTGACTCTCCCAACATCACTGCAACGACACGATCCCGTACATCAGGAGATGTACACGCTCTACAACATCAGGAGGATACGTCCCCTTCTCACTCAGAAGGCGGCGCAGGTACTGATTCAGGTTCTTGTCATCTCCCACCTGGACAATTGTAACGCTCTCCTGGAAGGTCTCCCTTCCACCGCCATTCCACCTCTGCAGCTCATCCAGAATGCAGCAGCTTGACTGGTCTTTAACCTTCCGAAATTCTCCCACACTACTCCACTCCTCCGCTCTCTTCACTGGCTACCGGTGGCTGCCCGCATCCAGTTCAAAACATTGGTTCTCACGTACCATGCTGTGAATGGATTTGGTCCAGCTTACTTCTGGGACCGTGGTCATACCCACAACTCGCGCACTCTCGTCTGCATCTGCAAAACTGCTTGATCCTCCCTCACTGATCATGACTGCATTGTAAAGCACAAATACAAGCCATGTTTTTTTTCTCAAGCTTGTACTGAACTTGAGAACTGCTTGTACCATCCTCTTTACTGTCCTTGCTCCAAAATGGTGGAACGAGCTGTCTCAAGACATCAGGACCGCAGAGAGCCTTCTAATCTTCCGCCGCAAATTAAAGACACACCTCTTCAGACTATGCCTTGACTAAACAACTAACAAATTGTAGCACTTAAATTGTACTTATAATAGCACTTATCTATAGCAAATTGTAAATTGGCTTATTTTATGTCAGTTTGTATCCCTATGGTTGAATGCACTTATTGTAAGTCGCTTTGGATAAAAGCGTCAGCTAAATGACATGTAATGTGATATATATATATATATATATATATATGCACATAGACCCCGACGTCTCGTCTGCAGCTAAAACTATGGTGCGTGTGTGTGTGTATTACCATGTGGTAGTTGACGATCTCCTGGAGGCTTTCTCCACACTTCTCAAGACATTCCTTCAATGATGACGACACACACACACACACCCATATGATGTCATTATACAGCTTATTACATAAACATAAACCTCTTTTTCACATAATAAATGATCTAAAATCTCTAAAAAAACACTCTTCTAGACAGTCAAATGTGATGCAGACCTAAGCTTAACTTAACAATAATACAATTCGTTCTCTGCTGCTTCACCCAAATAACTACGGCGACGCCCAACGGGAAACCTAGGCCAAAACTTTTCCTGGAAGAAAGCGATAAAGCCGGTTTAAGATGTTACTGCTTCCAGCCTTGCAAACTATCAGTGTATACTTCTCCTGCCTACATGTGGTCACATCTGTCATGTTTAAAACAGCTGGATGACAATAGTGTTTATGCTGATTTAATAATCATCTGGAGAATTACAAGAATGTCCGAGCAGTCATTTGCTAAGAAGCTGACCCTAAAAGACTCTTCAGTGAATGTACAGATTTAAATTCAGCTTTAAAAGTGCAGCCTCCCCTCACCGATATCATCTCCTCTTTCTTGCACTGCTGGGAGAGATCCTTGATTCCATTGACAAAGAGCTTGTTGGCGCTGACGTAGGCCCTGCCAGCCTCGATCATCCCACTGCACAGCTTCACCAGCTAGTGGGGAAAGAGAAACAAAAATAATCCCTTCAAATACACAACAAAAACATGATCTATTTTAAGAGTCACATGTTTTACACAGTGCAATGCAGGCATATATCAAAATTATTTTTGAGTCATATCTGGAATCCAGGAGGATAGTCAGTTTGGAATAATCCTCATGTTTGAATCAAGGCCAGTGGATGCATTATTAAATAAAGAAATATAATCAAGGGATACATAAATGTCCACTCCTCAATGTAGTATTGTAGCTGTCACATTACCTTATCAAAGAGGGTAGTGTATAATAAGTGTGTGTAGAGAGAGTTAACCGGTCACTGTTCAGCTAGAGGGCTGGGCAATATACGGTAATAACCCGTATAAATCGTATAAATAATGCTGTGACAGGACCCCATTGTTTCGTGAAGATAGGGTTTTTGGAGCCGTGAAGAATATGTTATTCGTTGCATTTGATAGATCCATGTTTTTTGCATTTATGCAGGGTGATCCAGCTGTACCATCTGATAGTTATACCCTTCAGTGCTGCTGTTAGTAGTAGGTTTAGATCGGCAATAGTATTTTTTGGCTCTCCCATCCAGGCCTTGCGGTATTTCTCCCAGTAATACTACTGTGGGGTCTTGTAGGATGTCCTGTTAGAATATCTCTTTGAGGTGTAACGTAAAACACAGGTTTCTCCAGTATGCACTTGACTTAGGACACAGCCAGAATATGTGTGTGTGATTGGCAGCATGTGTTCCACAGTTCCACCAGCACAAGTTGGAATTTGTTGGGCCCATCTGTTGGGCTACTACTTCTGGAGTTCTGAAGCACCTGTTAATTAGTTTCCGTTTAAATTCCCTCCAAGTGTCTGAGTTTGAAACTAGGTGTGCCTCAGTGCACATCTCCTCAATTTCTTATTGTGTGATATGACATTTTTTCATTTCCGCCTCCCATTAATAGATAGAAAGACATTATATAGCTTACTTATTGTTTTCTTATCTGTAGCTCTATTAAAAATCTCTCTATACGTGTACAATTCACAAACATCTCCACTCTTTGCGTGTGTTAGAAAGGTTCTCACCTGTAGGCATTGGAAGAAATCTGTTAGAGGGAGATTGATATCCTTTTTCAGCTGTTCAAATGTCTTACAGTTGTCCTCATTAAATAGCTGGTGGAGGTAAGTCAGTCCCACATCAGACCACTTTCTAAAGCCTGTGTTGAGACTGATAGGTGCAAAGGTCTTCATAGATGTACTCTGACGTTGGGGACAGAGGATGTCGCATGTGTACAGACTGTAAAGCCCTCTGAGGCAAATTTGTAATTTGGGGCTTTACAAAATCAAATGAATTGAATTGAAGATCCGATGCTTGTTAACAATGAAATTAACTTTGGAGAGAAATTTTAAGCAAGATCCTGGTCAGCTCTGCTAGTTACGATACATTACATAAATGCTCTGAGCATGACTTTTTCTCAATATTGAGCCAGAGATTGAATGTGTTATTCTTAATCCTGGCTATCAAAGGTTTCACATGTGCAGCCCAGAAGTATTACTTGTTTGGAGGTTTAAGGCCTCCATTTAGTTTAGATAGCTGGAAGGTTTTAAGTCTAATTCTAGGACACTTCTTTTGCCATATAAATTTGGAAAATATTTTATCCAGATTATCAAAAACTGGTTTGGGAATTTGGCATTTGGAATAAAGTGCAGGCATTATTGAAGCCTATCCAAAAGAAACTTTCACTTTATACAGCATCTTGATAGACAATATCATTAATATCGGCTCCAAATCTGCAACTTGACGGTACAAAACCTGATAAAGGCTAAAAATGATAATAATCCAATAGTTGTCTAAACATCATGTTGCATGGAGAAAGAGCAGTTGGTTGTCTACTATAGCGTAGGAGTTCCCAAGGTTGTTGTTATGTGAATGTGGGTTTTATGGTTAGCCGAAAGGCCAGAGATGAGACATGAGCTGGGAGGACTGATAACTGATAACATAACAAAAACAGCTGTAATACCGGTACATATTGATTGACATAGATGATGAATGCTGTGTGATGTGCATCACACAGCATACATGTTTACGTTTACATGTTTACGTAAATGTGCATGATTGACACTATTATGATTCCTTCTCTGCCGCTCCCAGGCAGGTCTGACAACATATCTGTCAACAAATTTGCAAATATGGAGGAATCTGATCTCATCATGTGCAATACAAAGTATACATGTCCGGATTGTTGATAAATGTGTTGAAAGGACCACAGTGGTTCACTTGGAGTCAAAATGCGACATCTGGTACCACATAACGGACATTGCTCTGTTTATTAATTGATCAAAACAGTCTCCACCGGTCAATGAGGTTGATGGTTTGCCTTAGAAGGACTTCAATCCAGTACAAGAGAGAACTGCAAAATCTACCAAGCTTGAAAGCATTGCAATGATCAGTGTTGTTGTGTTTTCACACCAGTTTTCACGCAGTAAACATCAATGAAGGAAGGCTTACATGTAATCAATCTCATAAGTGTCCTCCTCTGAGAGCCTTCATTGCTGCCAGAGTGTCTGCAGGCAGCTTCAGAGCGTCCTAACAGAGCAGTACGATGACCCCTGCTGCACAACAAATCCTGACACCCCCCCACCCTGGTCATTTTTCAATGGTGTGCAGATGGAGCTCAAAGTTCAATTGAGGCTCCTGACCTGTTGAGGGAGGAATATTCTTTGTGTGTGTGTTTGTGTGCAATAACAACATTGCGTGCTACAAACTGAATCAAAGGGGCGATGGAAGAGGAAAGAAGGTGCGGTCAACATTAACTACATTAACACTATCTCATCCTCCAAATGATCCCAGAGTACTATGTCTATTAGGTTATCTGAAGACAGTGTATCTGTTTCCATGGAGACTGGTCTTGCTGGTCTCATATGGTGAGCTGGTTTCATTTACTTGAAATATTATTATTGGGCAATGATCATCTATGAAATCTTTTTATCACGGTTTTGTTGTTCAGGTGAGTGCAGGGACCCATATCATGGATTTGTTACTGTAATACTATGATGAATAGTGAATAAAGTGTAATATATCAATAAAAACATTGAAAATAATCCAGGTACAATTGACTCCAGAGTAACTGAAATCTAAAAAATACCATGTCTCCACAGTGGCGGGTCTAAAAATGAGCAAGCTGGGTTCCATACTTTGCAAATACTAAGAATTAATGATAGGATGGCAAAACAACATCAACTTATTAGGCAGAACAAACAAAGACATCACAAGCTTAGATAAGAGGGATGCTCTGATACTACAGAATATAAAGCTACCTCTGTGATATGAATCTAGCAGTGCATGAACCTATTCAATATAATAATTTGAGGTGGCAGTATTTCCTGGTTTAAATACGATTGACATTTAGATAACAGAGAGCATGAGAAAGACAGGCAGATAACAAAAATAGAAAAGAAACACTATGACAGAGAGGGCCAGAGAGAGACAGAGATGCACGCAGACAGGCAGGCAGACAAATGCTCTATAATTAGTTTCACAGCAGCTAAAGGAAATACTGTCAATGGGCCGTGTCAACAGATATCTGATGGCCATATTTCATTGGATAACCGCACACACTCTGTGTTTGAATAACCTGCAATATATTGTTCATTGTTTGTGATTTTAACTTGAAAAATGGTAGAAGATACGTAATTAAAAGTTAAAAGTAACATTTTCAATGAACAGCATCGTCTTAAGAAATGTCATACCTTGTCGAGTTTTGCCTCAATCTCCACTACGTCTGTCTCCACATCATCGATGCCAGCCCTGCAGAGAGAAGACAAAGCCACACAGTTAATCAGATCTTCTCTTTTAGTGATACCAGACTGTATTAACAAGAAGGACGCCCGTTTCTAAGAAAAAGAACCACATCACGTTAAGCTGTAAACCATCACAGTCAAAACAAGTTTCAAACTCCAGGGGTCCGTTTCAAGTAGGAGGTTTAACAAACTCTGAGTCCAACCCTAAACTCTGAGTTTATTTACCCTTAGATGGGAAACTCTGAGTTTGGGGTTTCAGAACAGCTGTTTAGAGTTGGTTCAATCAACTCGGAGTAAGTCGACTCAGAGTTGAGTGCGTGACCACCACAGTATGAAGGCAGCATGAATGGAGCCATGATATCACGATTATCCATGGCAACCACCACAATCAATCGGTCGGAATACTTGAGCAGGATGTATTAATGCAAGCGTTCGGCGAGTATTTACACCAGAATGCACTACACACAGGCTTGAAATACACACCCATGCTCATCTCTAATCACAAGAACAATATCGCTGGTAAAAACTGGTTCAATGGTATTGAACCTATAATGTGTTTCATTCAGGTGCATCCTGTGGTTCTCCTCTTTAATGGCTTCACTGGTGTCCAGGGAACAAAAACGTTTAAAAGGCGTTTCAGAGCGACGCACAAGTTTCTCACGGCTCTGCATACAGCAGCTTTACTAATATTGTAAAGGAAACTGCCGTTTGCAAAAAAAGTAATACACTACACGAAGAATCTGCTCGGACGTGAGAACATGTCCATGATGTTAGTTATATGAGGAGGGGTGAGGTTATGTACATATTTGATAGACTGTGAAGAAAAACGATACCGTTCAAACAAGTAGTTATCTGGAAATGACAATATATCAATATTCTCTCCCAACGTTTTTGCAAAGTAAAAACGCTTCTTCATCAAAAAAAGGACATGCAATGTTCGAGAAAAAACACTTCAGTCTTTAACCCCGACATCTTATTTTGTTCATATGTGGAAACTGCGCTACAATACGCCTGATACAGAGTACTTAAATGAATGAGGAAATGAAAGCGCGCTGTATGATTGGCTGGGCTGCTGTCAGAGGGAGGAGACTGTGAAAGACACCTGAGATTTATTGAAGAAAACCTGCTCCTGACCAGGTTAGGTTTACAGGCTCAGTTACCATGGAGACAGACCCTGAGCTTTAGTTACCTCCATTTGTGAAACAGACAAACCAGAGTTTCCCTCATCTCAGGGTTAACAAACTGAGTTTCCACTAAACCTGCTTCTTGAAACGGACCCCAGTTTGGGAGAGATTGTTGGATTAGTGGTTCACCACAATGTCACAGTGACTAGTTACAAATACCGTCTCTGTAACCTTTCTTAAACAGACAGGTTATGATACAAAGGGAACAAAAAGACATTGAGAGATACCAACGTGATGTGGAAGAGAAAGTAAAAGGACCAAACAGAGAGCTGCAGTCAGAACACATCACAGCCTCGCGGACTGAACATTAATGACTCGATCGACAAAGGCATCACTCTAAAAGATTAGTGACCAGGGCCGTGCTGCAAAATCAATGAATGACATCATGCAGAGACATATTGCCTTAAGTATGAGTTGAGGTAAAGGTTTCATATTGTAACCAACAACATTGGAATTATTAAAGAACAATAAAAAGTATGCATTACATAAATATAGTCCAGTAATAAGTATTTTTTTTAACGTGCAAACACACACACACACACACACACACAGAACACACGTGCTATTTGTGGGCCACATAGGCTGAACTTGGGGTGGTACTTTGTTGAACATTACAGCAAAAAAGAAAAAAAGCCCATCAGACCAACACGTCACACCCTGCACCTGCTGGAACAAGTCGATCGTAACTGTGGGAGACGGTGATCTCATCACACAATCTCAACCCCACCTTTGTCGCCAACTCTGAAAACACCCTGACAGCAGATCTTATAAATCATAGCAGAAATAGAGGTAGCACATGTAAACAGTTAAACAACCTAATTAGCAATGTTACTTTTATGAAGGTTGTGGCTCGATCTGTTTCTGCTTTAGGGAGAAGGTCCACAGCTGAGTGGGGGGATGTCAATCTGCAGCTCTGGCACCTGCTCTGGAGAACAACATTCCCAGAATTCCTATGCTTCTGGCTTTTTTATTGTATAATTGTGTGTCGTTTACTTCTTCTGTCCTCATTCAGGCCTTACACTGTTTTCACAGTCTGCACTTTTTGTTAATAAAACATCACACAAGGCAGGCATGTGTGTGGTCTACACAGAAGGGTCTATTTTTTTAAAGAAAAGGAGAGAGCTGGAAATCAACGTTGAGAGATCTTTCATTCAGCCGTCTGAGTAATTTGGTGAACTCGAATGCTGTTGTTCATGCAGTGTAACCCATTAAAATGGTTTACAGTTTTGCTCTTTAGCTGCATGTCAATTAAGTCAGTCAGAACCAAACACCTACAATGTTAATCAGCTGTTCAATCTACAGGATAAGCTCATGTGTCTTCAAGTGTTGTGTCTAAGGCAGCACACACTGCCAACAAACAGCACATTTGACGGCAGAGACGACATTTAATACAGAGGCGGTCGAGGAACTATTGATCCAAGTTTTACATCACATGTCATTTAGCTGACGCTTTTATCCAAAGTGTCAGCAATAAGTGCATTCAACCCTAGTATACAAACTCAGAAGAGCAAGAAACATTTCCTCAAATAAGCCAATTTACAATTTGCTATAGACAAGTGGCGTTATAAGTACAATTTAAGTGCTACAATTTGTTAGTCTTTTAGTCGAGGTAGAGTCTGAAGAGGTGTGTCTTTAGTCTGAAGATGTGAAGGCTCTCTGCGGTCCTGGTGTCTTCAGAGAGCTCGTTCCACCATTTAGGAGCAAGGAGAGCAAGCAGTTCTCAAGTTCAGTACAAGCTTGAGAAAAAAAGATGACTTGTATTTGTGCTTTACAATGCAGTTTAGATGCAGTTTTACGAGCAGCGTTTGGAATTATAAGGTTTAGCAATTAATATAAAGTTGTCAGCTCTACTAAGATGGCTTGTGAATGTACACTTGTCCTTTTTCATCCCTTTTGAAAGACTTTACATTGTTCAGCATTTCAGTTATTAATATGTTTATATAACTTGGTGCATGAAAGAGTTATGTGATCAAAGTGAAATTGAGAATGACACCTGATGAGAATGAGAAACACAATGGCTGAATCAAGTATCAAAGTGTGTATTCAGTGTGTGTGTTTAAATCTAGGAACATCCCAAAACTGCTACACTGAGGATGATGCTGCCCAGTCAGGAAGGGGATGGGGGGCTCATACTTGCTACCAGTGGTAGCATACTGTACATTGTCCAACACTGTAATGAAAGTGGGGGAGGGAGACCTCACATGGACAAGCTCTGACTGCCCTCTCATCAGCGCCAATGACTAACTACACTAAATCTCTCATCTCTTCATACAAGAGCCGAGTGGACACACACTGCACAGGCTCCAGCATTGAGACATATCTGAGGCCCCATGTCTTCCAGACATGCAGTGTCACATCGCATCACGTCCACATGTGCATCACTTCAAGGACCAAAGGGACAGCAGCAGGGGCGACAACAAGTCATCTGATACTAGACCAGCTCGGACCCCTGTGTCTGAATTACTCACATGCAACTAGACTTAGAAAGACATTCACTTGAAGGGTTATGATACATGTCTATAAGACATAATATGCCTTGAGGAAAACTAACTTAAGATACAAGATATAATCCTGTTTAACAAGGGGAGACAAGAGCAAAGGTGACAAATGTGGATAGAAAACGTCTACTATCCAACCGAAAGTAAAAACGCAGCATAGTATTACATGTCATGGCGCATTAATAAAAAGTGTGCGTGCACGTGTGTAGATTTACTGTCAACCTTGTCTGTATTGCTTCCGAACCAAAGCCGCTGACATAAAATGGATGAGCATTTTAGTGACAGACAGCATTTTGTTGAATTCAGTAAAATTGTTTATTGTTTTAACAACAGTTTATCATGTATTTATTCTCTTTTTCTACGTTATTTGAAAGCTGACTCAGAAGATCAAGCGATAATGGTCAATTAACTCATTTCATTCAGACATCAGGTAAACCTACTGTGTGTAGTCAACATTTTGTCAAATTTTGTTCTATTCACAGTTACCGTAACTCTCTGCTAAACAAAGAGGATGAAGAAGTCATAGCACTCTTACTGCTGTTTTAAAAAGGTCCACTAACAGCTAGAACATTTAATATAAAACAATATTTTCATGCCACAAAAAGACAATACATGAGTCACTTTAAAGACGGCGTGTTTAAGTGTCATCTTTATATGCATGCATGCCAAATGCTATCCTGCACCCGTGGGTTTATAGAACACTATTACCCTTGACATCAAGCAATACACACGTCAGACATGTCACAATAAGCAGGTTAACAATTTAGAAGCACTGGATGTTCATTGTGTTTTAGCATCAATGTACAATTTCTTGATTCTGTTAGATATTTAACTATTTACTCAAAAACTAACATTCAGTTAGTTCAGTTAGGGGATATGGACAGTTGTGTCCATATCCCCTGCCAGTAAAAACAACAAAAAGGGTTCGCACCCCCAAATCCGTTAGATCATTTCATGTCCTTATCCATATCACTTACTCCTCCATTAGCATATAGCACCATAATCCATGAAAACCTAATCATAAAGTATTAATTCAGCATCCAAAACTCTAATCCAACAGTGGTTGAAAGGGCAGTTTCTGAAAAGTGAAAGGTCTCCAACACATCCTCACTATTTTAACATACAATCAACATTGTAAAATGCATTGTAATGATCTTATTAGAAACAAAACAATGGCGAAATCTTGTTATTATTGTAATACACAGAGAGCTTAAAACTGTCTCATTTATAATGTATACATGCTTTTATCATCCTTCACCCACATATTCAGACATACAGACGCATCAAAATATCCCCTTCCCACAATTCCAAGTAGCAAGCTCCAT